CCATCGGACACCTTTGTCTCTTTGGATTTGTTGACAACACATTGGAAGTGTAGTCAACGTCTGTGCGGTCGCGTTGCTAGTGCGTACGGCTCGTACCCTGTAAGTATATGATATGCACGATTACTTATAAATATTTATGATCGTTAGTTCATGGAGCCTACGTATTTAAAGAAACTACCTTTGTTACTACATGTGAGGCTCCTTGGGTACCAAACGGGGCACCACCTAGCTGAGACATGCCGATCTCGTCCTGCGGCCAATCGTCCCACTGGTGGAGCTGTCTACGGAAGCCTGGGGGTCGTCGTCGTCGTCCTCGGTTGTAGGGTTTTTTCCGGCGTTATGATGTGGTGGTGTACGCACTGCGGAAGTGGCATATGTCACCGGCTGGGAAGAGCCGACTGGTGTCTTCAAAGAGCCAGAAGACGTGTCATCCGACCGCGTCGGGACTGCCAGTTCCACCCAAGGAGTGTCCATGCAGCTCCGCTTCTGAGCTAGCTTCCTGCAGCTCCACTTCACCTTCTGCATAAATAGACATTAAAGTTAGTGTATTTTCCAAACGCATATATACTAAAGATATATTTTCGAAACGGATAAGTTTATGTTTCCCTCCACAAAAGCCTCGAGAACACCTGGCCCCTGCCATCTAAACTCGTGAAGCCGAAACGCTGCTTCGTTGGACATCATTGACAACTGTGTTGTCTAGGTACAGAAACGCGGTTGGACAGTTTTAGTACCCATACTTAATACCAAATGGATAATAAATTGTACCATTCGAGTATCTTACCACGTATCTTTGAAGCGGAGCTCTCTGTAGTTGTTTGTCCTTCCTAGTGGCAACGTCGTACACATCTTCGATCACATATTCCTTCGAGTCCTCGTCAATCGCCTCCTCAGTGTACGGGGGCTTGATATATGTCCTCGTAGACCTGTGAAGCCACCGCAGGTACTCGTTGAAGGTGTGCTGGTCGTGTGGGGGACCCGCATGGACCGGCTGCCTTTCCCTGTTCTGCCACAAATGGATGTACGCGTTGTGTGCCACGCTTCAATCCTTGGTCTTGTACCTCTTTTTGCGGTCATACCTGCAACAAAACAATGTTAGTTGTACCACACACCTCTGAACTGTAGCTTTGTTATTAATCGATAACGCACCCGTGCAGTTCTTGGTTGGTGGAGTAAAGCGGTGGTGGGTAGCCTGTTATTCTTTCAAACTGTCTGCATGCCCTGATGGGCAAGTGAATCTCGACCATGTGGAAAAAAATAAGAGGGACGTTGCAGCGATACTCGTCTGACTCATCACTAGTGACAAGACTCAAATAGTACTCGAGCTCCGGAGCATCCCAAGGACACCAATGCACCTGAACATTTCATAATTAAGTTAGGTTGTAATATAATATTCATCGAACAAGACACATGTATAATAGTAAAGAGAGCGTAACCTGGTGCTGTGTCAGGACGTCGAGACCGTCCGTGTACTCCCATGTACTTACGCCTCGCGTTCTCTCTAAGGCCTTGTTTAGTTACCGAATTTTTTAGGAAATAGTATTGTAGCACTTTCGTTGTTATTTGGCAATTAGTGTCAATCATAGTCTAATTAGACTTAAAAGATTCGTCTCGTGAATTTCGTCTAAACTGTGTAATTAGTTTTATTTTTTATTTATATTTAATGCTTCATGCATGCGTCCAAAGATTCAATGTGACGGGGAATCTTGAAAAAATTTGTAAAATTTTGGGAACTAAACAGGCACTAACTAACTCTGCTTCCATCTAGATATACAGAGCTGTATGGAGTGTATCCTGCCCGTTCTATTGCTGCATTGAACACGATAATGAATTAGCCATTAATAATTTCATCATATGTAACTGCCTCGAAGAATATAGTGAACCGAGGTACTTACTGGTAAACCAGTATTAAGGGGTCTCTCAATGGGCCATCGTTCCCAACACCAAATCTGGAGTAGGTAGGAGCAACCTCCAAGGTTCGCATACCCTAAAGTGCGACGGCAAGCAACACAAGCTGTCGATACGTCCATACCAGGACTGCGTTGCCCCAGCTGTACGTCGCTATGTTCTCCCACGGCTGGCGTAGTATGTCAAGAAAGATTCAGCTGATGATATTGCTTGAGACGTCTGGGAAGAGGAAAGCACCAAGAAAGTGCTAGAGCCACACTCTAGCGAACCTGTCGATCATAGCCTCATCAGCCTGTGGGTCTAAGTAATGAAAGCGCTATGTGATCCAGGACGACGAAACACCAGAACTTTTCCTGAAATTCACCAAAGAAAATGAGATCCGGTGGCTGCAGGAAAAGCAATACAGATATTAAATAGGCTTGAATTGCTCACTTATTTCTCTTGAAAACCCCGTCGTCCGGTGGAAAAAAGCCAGTGAACTGAGCCACCAGCTTCCTCCAGTGATCGTTGTCAAATATACCTATCACTGAAAGTTCCCCCAACCGAATGCCAAAGATAGCCTTCACGTCCTGCATGGTCAAGGTCATCTCGCCGCAAGGTAGGTGGAACGTGTGGGTCTTAGGCCTTCACCTGTTATAAGAATAGAACGACTGTTAGTTGCATCAAATTATAAGAATGTTTACGTACAAAGAAGGCACTCGCACCTGTCTACAGCTACAGTAAGTAGTGCTGGGTCAAGGAGCGGAAGACCGTAGTTGACAACACGGACAAGCTCGAGTAAGCCGGCACGCCGTATGTACGGCGCGTAACGCTCGTCCCACTAGTGTGCCCTGGTGTGCGTGCGGGACCTCAAAGGAGGCAAGGCCACCTGTGCGTCGGTGTCACTCAAGATGTGTGCTCGGTGCTGGCCGTCGTACTGCACATCAAGAAAGGGGTACAACAGGTGCTGCGTGGGAGGGGACATCCTGTTACAAATTAATAAACAAAGGGTTAGCGTATTTGTAACAGGAGGGCCTTCACCTGTTACAAATTGATAAAACTCAACCAACCAAATTTATCGCTATATATATGTATGTCTAGTGCAAAAAACACATAAATAGATTTATATTCCACGTGCCTTTTAATTAGACATTTGTTTTCGCTATAATTAATAATACATTGTAAGAAAATTAACAATTAAAGTATATAAATAATAATATAATGTAAGATAAATTAACGGCTAAAGTATATTTTAAAAGAATCTCTCGATCTAATGGCTAACGATTAATATAAAGGGCAGTGAAGGTACGAGGATTTTGATTATGAAGAAATAGGCACCAAATTTCACTTCAACGAGGGTTGAACTGCAGTGAGGGCGTCCATGTTGCGCCGGCGTGCGTGGCGCGGCAGACGCAGACGCAAGCGTCGGCGGCGTGGCGAGCCAGCGCGGCGGCGCGGCTTCGGCAGCTCATGGGCAAAGGGAGGCTCATGGACGTTATTTATCTGGTCTCGCCACACAGGCTATGGCGCGTCACTTTGCTGCGCCAAGATCAATAACCACGGCGACCTGCCACTTCACCGGTCAGCGCCTCGGTCGTCGCCACGTCAGCCTCCCGCCGCGCCACCATGCATGGCGCGGCACAGGCGTTTCGCCGCGCCATAGCAATAGACGCGGCCAAAAGTGTTAGTTTTGAAAAAAAAAAGTGTTAGATTTAAAATTAGTTTAAAAAAGTGTTAAAATAAAAAAGAATCTCCAGGAAAGAGGATGTCCATATTTGGGTTGTGCCTCTCAGGCAATTCAAAATAGATTTCTCGTATAAATACTTTGTTGGAGATTGATTTTAAATCTTTTACTATCTATTTTGGGTTTATGTGTCCATATGGATTCTCGTTGGCTACAAGAGGCGGATGGTGGTACACGGCAGGAGAGCCCGGGGCCGTGTGTTTTGGGATTTGGGCTACAAATTGAAAATTGAATACTTCGCTTTTGCGGATGTCCATCGACCATCCTTCAAAATTGTTTGAAATCCTCTGCAGAAAAGTGACTTTGAAGAACCAAATCAAACAGCAAACTCTAGATGCCAACGCCCTAAGCCGCTGACAAAGCATATACCAGTACATAACTTTTTCTAGACAGATCTTGTGACTAATTTATTATATACTTTCTCTCTCTTCTAAAATATAAATACTTTTCTAAGTTTATAGCTTCTGTCTATATCATACATGCAAAATCAATATATTTAGAAAAACAAAAATAACTTATAATTTGGAACGTAAAGAGAACGGCTTATTATCAGTAGTCACACAATCTATAATCAAAATAATATTAGTTGAAATTGTAGACATCAATTATGGGTAGGAAACTAGTCTGTCTTTTCTACTCCATTTTGAATGGAGATTATTGTTAGACGGCGTGTGATATATTCATGCTAAAACCACGTGCCTCAAACACAAGTGTGGACTTCGCGCATTGAACTTTGAACTCGTTGCAAACACTGCTGGTTAGTTTTTCTCGTGGTGGAATATGTCACACGAATTGAAGTCTTTGACTTGGTGTAGATGCTCACATCTATTTGAAATTATTTTAGGATTTAATAACGTTATTGTTCTGGTGGTAAATGACATATGTAGAGTGTGCCATGTGCGTGCATACGGCCATATAGATCAGTGTAGATGCATGTATGCAGTCAGATCGTTTAAATCTTTTATTGAGCACGTGTGGGTTGGCGACGCACGATTTCCTTCAGGCGTGTGTGTTGTACCCGCTGCTTCTATCGTGCCCGACTGCCCGTGATTTGCTTGCCATTCATGCATGCATATACGTCGGACATTGCTAACAAAGTAACAACAAACAGAAAGAAGACAAGAGTGAAAGGCAGTTTTTCCATTGGGCTTGTGATTTGCTTGCATCCCATGCAGCATGTGCGCACGGGCGTTACTATCAAACGAAAAAAAGAAGAAGGAAAAAGAACCACATATGATTCCATGCATGGAAATTGGACCGAGCCTTAGTCATTGCTAATGTTAGCAACACACGCCCGTGGATATGAGTCCCCTCCCACCTCCCCTCCTCTCGCATCATCGTGTTCTCCAATCCAAGACGAAGGCAGGCAATGGCGGCGGCGAACGGCCCATCACCTGGGAGGTTGGCTTCGGTTTACAGCGAGGTGCAGACGAGCCGCCTCCATCACGCGCTCCGGCTCCCCTCCGTCCTCTGCTCCCAATTCTCCCTCGTCGATGGGCTTCCCAGCTCAGCCACCGGAAACCCAGGTAACGAAGACCTGCATGCATGCATCCCTTGGCCTTGATCTTGTCTCATTCCTTGGTTTTTCGTTCGAGCTTGTTTTTTTTGCCTTACGTGCGGTTTTGGCCTGATCGCCGCAGATGAGATCGCGAAGCTGTTCCCTAACTTGTTTGGGCAGCCGTCGGCAACATTGGTGCTGCCCAAAGAGGCAGTGGAGGGGAAGGCGCTGAAGGTCGGGGTGGTGCTCTCTGGTGGACAAGCACCCGGTGGGCACAATGTGATCTGCGGTATCTTCGGTGAGGTCTCTTTGATCCATTTATAGAATCAATGTTTTCAGAATTGCAACTAACAGTGGCAGTATGGTGTCACCATTTCCAGGTGTCGATTTAAAAGTGGTTAGATAATAGGATTGTTCAATTGTCTGTTCCCGTTTATTAACATATTTATTTGGACATTTCTACCTTTTCGCCACATACATAGTAGTACATGTCGTGGAGTAATATAATCTGGGCAGCTGGGCTGGGAATCGAATTTTGTTACAACATTTAGATTTGGAACTAATATTGGCTAATAAGTAATGAGCTCCGACCATTGATTAGTGGAGTCATTTAATTAAAGTTGCTTACTAATATGATGAAGTGCACGGCTATTTTAGTATCTTCTCGCTAATGCATCTGCCGGTGTAGATGTCTTGCAGGAACACGCAAAGGGAAGCACAATGTATGGATTCAAAGGAGGCCGGGCAGGGGTGATGAAGTGCAAGTATGTCGAACTCAATACCGATTTCGTCTACCCCTACAGAAACCAGGTTATAGTGATTTCAACAAAATGATATGCATTTAACCATGGTCTAGTTTTCCAATGTCACATTGCTTTAGTTGGAAAGGCACATAGGTCTTTATATTCAGTTGTGTAACATGTCGATAGCCTTCCACTATTTTTTTTTCTTGATCACGCAAAATGTTTGCGCGTCTTTGTATTAAGAGAGAGAAAATATTCAATACAACACGCTTTAGCGGCACCTTAGAAGGTCAATAAGTTTTACATGAACGTTCGGACCCGCCCTAGCAGCCTTCCATTATTTGGCACACAAGTCTTATAAACCATGCTTCCTTTAGTTTTCATGCTATTGATGAGAATAGATGAGAAACAGTACCTTCAATAGGTTAGGGGACATAACGTTCTTTATTCTTCTTGAGTATTTTATAAATCCGTTGAAATTTAAAAACAAGTTAAGAGTACTTTTCTTCTCTTTTTTCCAATAGGGTGGATTTGATATGATCTGTAGTGGAAGGGATAAGATCGAGACAGTACACCAGAGCAGGTATGTCCCTTTATCTCCAAGTTTTGCCTGCATAAAGCTTGCTAAATACATCTTATTCCATATACTGAAGCATTTTTCAACTATGGCTAAAATACTGCCCTTGTGGGGTCATCCAGTTTAAGCAAGCCGAAGATACAACCAACGAACTTGAGTTGGACGGACTTGTTGTTATTGGAGGCGACGATTCAAATACTAATGCTTGCCTTATTGCTGAATACTTCAGGTTGGTTGCTTGCAGAGTGCAAATCACCATGCTGCTCCATCGAAAATGCTCTTTGTTCACTTTTGTTATGAAATAAGCTTTGTACTTAGGCTTAAAAATAATAAGATACAATATATATATTTTCTAAACAATGCCATCTTGAATTATTATGTGATAATGTTATTGTTTATCACAATGGCAAAAGTTACATATGCTGCTAGAATGCAACCATTGCTGAGTCTAATGGGGATTCTCTGCTTCATCACAAATGAATCTAGTAAAAATGTGACCCATGCTTAGTAAGAGGCATTTCTTTGTAGGGGAAAGAACCTGAAGACTCGTGTTATTGGGTGTCCAAAGACAATTGACGGAGATCTAAAATGCCATGAGGTCCCAACAAGTTTTGGATTTGACACCACTTGCAAGGTATAATGTATTTTTCATACATACGAGTTTTTTAGCAGGTAAAAAAATTTAGCCCTGTTGAAGTCAAAGAATGACACAACAACCTTTTCTACTCTATTATGTGATCCAGATTAAAAAAATCTTAACTAAGTAACCGTATTTTTATTCAAGGTTGATCTCGAAAGATGTGTATACTCATGTAGAACTAGCCATATAATGTAATTGGTGTATTATATTTTGTAGATATACTCTGAAATGATTGGAAACGTGATGACTGATGCACGATCGTCTGGGAAATACTACCATTGTAAGCTATTTTGCTTATTTGCTTTTTTTATAAGCTGGATTTTTTATTTCCTAAAAGGAACCATTTGCATAAACAGGAACAAATTAAATAAGTAGTGATTGCGTTACCTACCTCGTTAAATATTTATTATAGATTGCCCATACATCATTCTTCATTAGTTTAGCCTACATGAATCATATGTTCATAACTTTATTAGAATGCAGCTAAGTTTTTTTTTTTACAATGGTAGTAAGTCATTTCGAAACATTGAGTCATGTAATTTCATCTTGTTGAATTCGTAAAAACAAATTTTGTTTTTCTTCCCAAGGACAAATAACTTAATAGTTGCATTACTAATTTTCTACCTGCCAACCAATTATGGTTGACCATATTAACATTTCCTTGACATCTCACTGCAGTTGTGAGCCTTATGGGACGTGCTGCTTCTCACATTACATTGTAGTGTGCCTTACAAACACACCCAAACATTGTTCTTATCGGGGAAGAGGTTAGTACTCTTCCTTTGGATATCTATTTCATGTTGTATTTGTTTTTTCTGATCTTTACTTGGTGCCTTTTGCTAGCTTAGATATGACTTTAATAGTGTGCGGTGAGCATTACATGATGAGTGTGCTTATGTCAAGGTTTTATTCGTGTTTCATTTGAGCAACGAACATTTGTTTGGTTCATGACCACCTACCCTCCTACATTACTTTCATAGATATTTTTTCTACAAACGGACTAAATAATGTATGAATGGGTTCATTTATTTATAAAATGATTACAACTGATGGAATTTCTATTTTTGATATGGTGTTTATGTTTGATACACAAAAATGTTGTTTCCCCCTTCATTCAGGTTGCTGCAAAGAAGCAGACTCTCAAAAACGTTACGGACTACATTACTGATATTGTCTGTAAGCGTGCTGAACTTGGTTACAACTATGGTGTCATCCTTATACCGGAGGGTTTGATTGATTTCATACCCGAGGTTATAAGATACCCTCATTATTTGTGTTCATTTAGAGCTAGCCAATGAGAGTTCCTTGATCCTTAGACTTGGTTGCACCTAGATATATTTTCTGCACCACTCATGGTTATTCTATGTTCATTCTAAGTGTATTTTTTATCTTTGCCTTCCTAGGTTCAGAAACTTATCGCCGAGTTAAATGAAATTTTGGCACATGATATTGTTGACAAAGCAGGTGTTTGGAAAAATAAACTTGAACAAGAATCCAAGAAACTGTTTGAATTTTTACCTCCATCCATCCAGGAGCAACTTTTGCTGGAAAGAGATCCACATGGAAACGTTCAAGTAAGAAAATTTTCTTTAACCGTCTAATCTAGTCATTAACATTTCTTATTCTGAAATTTGCTTCTGACATCTCATGATGTTTCTTTTTTAGGTTGCAAAAATTGAAACAGAGAAAATGCTTACTGCAATGGTTGAAACGGAATTAGAGAGAAGAAAAGCTGAAGGAAAGTACAAGGGCGGTTTCATTGGTCAATCCCACTTCTTTGGGTGAGTGTTTAGATCTTTTAAAAAATAGATATTTCTTTATGTATGGGTAAAAAATAATTATATTATAATGGTTTTTTCAATGTCAATTTTCAGATATGAAGGGAGGTGTGGCCTTCCAACTAATTTTGATGCCAGTTATTGCTATGCTTTAGGTTATGGTGCTGGGGCTCTTCTCTAGTGTGGGAAGACGGGGTCTTATATCTTCGGTACATATGCCAATTTATCATTATAGGATATTGTTGACATGTTTCTATGTTCATATATTTAGCAAAAGGTTCAAGTCATGCACGAATGCACAATATTATTATTCAATTTTATTTTTTTTAACATTATCATGTCTAACCTCACATCAATTTCTATAAAAACCCAAGAAGCAGCACATACAAATGTAGTGACGATTATCTGGTTCACTTAGTTCTTTTATAATTTGTAATGGGATGTCTTATGGTTCTTTATTTTGTAAATTCAGGTTGGTAACCTTGCTGCCCCTGTGTCCGAATGGACCGCCGGGGGAACTGCATTGACATCATTGATGGATGTTGAGAGGAGACATGGTATCTTTTAGTATTCACTAAGATTTAGTTACGATCTCTTTACTTTCTTTTTCTTTTTCTTTTGAAAGAGCAATCTCTTTACTTTCTTCATCTTTTTTGAAAGAGCAATCTCTTTACTTTTTTTTTATTTGTATTTATGTTCCAAGTTTATGTAAAAGCAAAAGAAAAAATATTTCTATATTTTTATTTGACGTAGAAGAATATTTTCTGCGAATGGATAATAATTTAACGTTCTCTTTTATGGCTTTACCATATTTTACTCCTGTCATTGGTTATAATGTATTGTTTTGTTGTTTTGCTATTGGAAGCATTTATTCTCTATCTCTGACTTTGCATGTGCAACTGCAATTCCACAGGCAAGTTCAAACCAGTAATCAAGAAAGCAATGGTAGAACTTGAAGGTATGAATTAACTTATCTCTTTATATTTCATTGTTATAATGAAACACCTGTACACTCATCAACTCCTAAATTTCTATGTTGAGAAATTCAGGTGCACCATTTAAGAAATTTGCATCCCTGCGAGATGAATGGGCCATCAATAATCGATACATTAGCCCTGGTATGTAGCAACAAGTTTTCTATCAGTGACAAATACTTGTCGATGAATGATTGAATGAGTTAATAAGCTAACATGATGGAACTTTCGGCTAACATAGGACCCATCCAGTTTATTGGCTCCGGAGCAGACGCTGTCACCCACACCTTGCTACTGGAACTTGGTGTTCAAGCCTGATACACTGCCTATCTAGTTCCCAACCATTTCATTTTTTTATTTCCCAATTTTGGTATAGAAGGTGTGTTCCAAAGCTAGTTTGCACGAGATCGCAGAAATGTGAATAAGAGGTTTAGGCAATGTTCTCTACATAGTATTATGATAGCAATAAAAACTATTTTTTTTTTTTAGCTCATGTTCATGAGCTATTGATACTAAAATTTTTTTTGCTAATCACCGTACAAACAGAGACAATGCACACAAATTCACTCCTAAGAACACGTACACTGAGACTAGGCCGACAAATTTTATTATGGGCACCTCCAAAAGACTGAGACTGAGTCAACAAATCTTGAGATTGATGAAGTCACCACATGCGTATCACTATTAATGGGTATGTTACCTATCACTGAAAGAATAATACCAATAAATTCTGAAATAAATTTTAAAAAATATAAGCACTCATTTCTAGTCGAGGACTTAAACTTACCACAAGGAAACCAACTAGCTAAGCTACACTCAGTTCACCTTTGTGATACCAATTTGTAATCCAAGATAATATATTAGCTCACATAGAGGTTGGAAAGTGCGGATTTTGCAAGCTGATTGGTTTATGGCTCTTTACCTGAATTAGACGTACGTGTCTCCCTAGGTACATTTTATTAAGCTAAGGGGAACCTCGTAATAAACTTATTTGAAGATATAAATGTTGCTAATATTTTATACAAATCTAGTCAAAACTGATAAAGTTTGACCCATATATTTCTCGTAGCGATGAATATAAAGGGACAATAGTTATTATAGTTATTAGGATCGGACCACATATTGAACCGACGAAGCCTTCAGTTCACAGTTTGATTGGTCTAATTAGTTAAACTATTGATTTAAAATTGTTTAATAGAACAACTACATGGCGGAGTTATGAGGAATACATGCTGAAACCCTCCCACAGCTTGTTTTCGCTCTTATTTCATCTCCCTGCGCATAGTGGTGTTACTTATTCCCGCCTCACGTGGACAACAATGTTTGCATCGGCTTGGAGTGGTTCCTTGTAACCAGTTTCGTCGGTTTCCATATAAAGACCTGCGTGAACCGACAAACACTGGCTCTAGTTTTTTTAGTCTGATCGTCGGTCTTCTAATAACCGTGCTGTTAGGACATCAAACAAGCCGACCCTCAATAATAAGTGAATATGGCAATCTTAATGTGACTTACGATGTGTTTGGCAGCCACATGGAAAGCGGCATGCAAATTAATGGTGGAATTTGATAGAGGGAATTAAGGTGAAATTTTGACTTTTAGTCTTGATCTCTTGTTTGGTTTATGGAGAAAAATAAAAAGGGGAGTAGGGAATTTATATCCCCTATTTGGTGGGTAGATCTTTGAACGTGAAATCATATGACAAATCATGATGAATAGTGATGATGCACTTATCTCTTAGGCCATGTTTAGATTGCAAAAAATTTCAATCCGATGAATAGTAGCACTTTCGTCTTATTTGGTAAATATTGTCCAATCGTGGACCAACTAAGCTCAAAAGATTCATCTCGTGATTTTCAACTAAACTGTGCAATTAGTTTTTTTTACCTACATTTAATGCTCCATGCAAACGGCTAAAAATTGATATAATGGAGAGAGAGTGAAAAAACTTAGAATTTTGAGGGTATCTAAACAAGGCCTTAGTTAAAAACACACCTCCGGCGTCTCTTCTAGAGAATTGATTAGTGGTGCTCTCTAAACTCTACCTTTTCTTTTAACCAAAACTCCCACTCCTATAAAACAAACACATGATTTTTAAATTTTTATTTAACTCTAATCTTCCATCCCCTCCTTTTTATTACCTCAACCAAACGTAATTTAACTCCAGTCCTTCGTGTTCTAAAAAAACTCCAATCCTTCGTTTCCTCTTTTCAATTTTTCTTTTGAGAATGTTTCCTCTTTTCAATTACCTTCAACCAAACGTGCCGTTAAAAAAATTTCCTCTAGATGGCCCGCCGTTAGGAAGGATAATGCAAACGGTAAACCCACTTCTTTGACGAGTCAACGTATAGAAGTCTTAAAACAAAATCCGAAACTTTATCTCGTCTCCTCTCCGCCTCTCCCCGCCTCCTCCACCCGGAAGCATCGCACCTCCCGCCATGCACTGCATCGCCCCCCGCCTGCTCCTCCTCCCACTCCCGACCGTCTCGCGCCACGCGCTCTCGCCAACCCAGACGCTACCTCTTCCTCTCATCCTCCCCTCCCGCGCCTGTAGGCTCCACCTCGCCTCCGCGCGCTCGCCGTCCCGCGCCGCCGCTTCGGTTTCCGACGACGACGAGGATGAGGAGGTTGACGTGGATGACGACGACGACGAGATAGACATCCGCGACGTAGACGATGAATACTACGACGATTTCGGTGACGGGGATGAGGGAGATGAGGGCGACGAGGAGGCGGTGGACGAGGAGAGCGGTGGTGAGTACGAGGAAGAGGCGGAGGAGGACGAGGACGAGAGGGAGGATACCGCAGCGCGGAGGCGGGAGTCGGAGGAGTATAAGTCGCGGCGGGTGGCGAAGCTGGTCGCTGAGGTGCGGGAGTTCGGGGAGGACATCATCGACTACAACGAGCTCGCCGGGATCTACGACTTCCCCATCGACAAGTTTCAGGTATCATTTTGGTTCCTGACTCGATGGGCTAGCCCTGCTTCTATTTGTTGAACCGTGCAACTCCAATGCTGGGCCGGTAAAGTTAAATGCAGTTTTGAATTTTTTGTGGAAGATTTCTCACACGTGTAATTTGTATTTTGTAACGACAAGGTACAGGTAGTTCTTCTCTGCAGCACACTTTCTAATTTAAGCACTCAAATTTGAGTTCCGAAGAAAGAAACTCCTAAATTTGGGGGGCTCTATTTCTTTTCGAGCCATTGTTTGTTGGAATGGGCTTGGTTACATAGTAATATTGTTTTTGTGGTGGTGGGGGGTCGGACTTGGGACCATGGTGGTCTCATTGTTAAACATTACAATTTCCATCACCTTTCCCGGGGAAAAAAAACTTTCACGATTTTGACTGATTTCTGATGGCATTGTTTGGGACAAGCTACTCTTGGGATGTTTTGTCTAGCACTACTAACTAAGCAGGCAACAAAAGAATCTGGCATGGGCTTCATAAAACTGTAGTAGTTTACTGATTTAAAAACCTGAATTAGTTTAATGGGTTTCAAGTTAATTTGAACTAATTTCAAAATTATAACTTAGTTATTGGGCATTGTGATTGGAAAGATAACATAAACAATCCCTCTTTCAGCAATAAATTGTCTTGAAGGCGGATATGTTTTTTATGCTGCATGTAAATCTGATCATTCGGGAGTTATCTGTTCCAAAATTAATTTAAGCAATAGGAGCATTATCCAATGTCCACAAGCTATTGTACTCCGTTTTTCTTACCCTGTTTCCTATCTTCTTGTAGCGCTTGGCTATACAAGCATTGTTAAGAGGTTCATCTGTTGTAGTTTCTGCACCTACAAGTAGTGGGAAGACATTAATAGCAGAAGCTGCAGCAGTCGCAACAGTAGCTAGAGGAAGGCGTCTCTTCTACACAACACCATTAAAGGCCTTGTCAAACCAGAAGTTCCGTGATTTCCGGTAAAATGTTATTTTCTGATTCTCCTGCTTTTTGCAGGTTTACTATTAAATCCATAAAAAATAAATCAGTTTATCTAGTAAATTCATTTTTGACACAATTGGTTGTACAATTATTTCAGGGATACCTTTGGTGATCATAATGTTGGCCTTCTTACAGGAGATTCTGCTATCAACAAAGATGCTCAGATCCTAATTATGACGACAGAGATTTTACGTAACATGCTGTACCAAAGGTATTTTAGAGTGATATACAATGATCAATATGGATTGTTGCAGATACTCACTCTGCATACCAGTTTAGCAGTTTGCCATTTTTAATTATACAAATATTGCAGAAGCTTTTATGACGAGAACCATTCACAGTAGATATACACTTAAATAAAATTATTGCCAGCCTTTCCCAAATTGTACACGCTGATTTTAAAATACATGTGATTTCTTTTCTCGATAGTTTTCCTGTTTCTTAGCTATAAGGTAGTGTCTTTAGGAGGTCAATCTTTTGCCGGTAGGTAGTTCTAGGTCGTAAGTAGTAACTGATGTTCCCTGTCCTGCGTCTGAGATGAGTCTTGACATCTTCTGTTTGTACTGCAGTGTTGGCATGACAGCCTCTGAAGGTAGATTATTTCAAGTTGATGTCATTGTTTTGGACGAAGTCCATTATTTGAGTGATATCTCACGTGGCACTGTTTGGGAAGAAACTGTATGCTATTGGATTACTCTCATATTGATCACTTGTATTTATGTTGGTCATTTGACTTAGCCACTTTTATCATGTCTTAGGTCATATATTGTCCAAAGGAAGTCCAGCTTATATGTCTGTCAGCCACTGTTGCAAATCCTGATGAATTAGCTGGCTGGATAAGTCAGGTAATGGCAGATTCATGTTAATTATTTGTGAGCTGGTTTTCTTTATCCTCAGTGATGTTTATGCAAGAATGTGAGCTTGTCTTCCTACTATAAATTTAGGTGCAATTTTTCCTACCATTGGCCTAGGATTTTCTCTTACTATAAATTACAGTGAGACTGCACAAACACATGCATGCGCAAATGTTTTGTTATAAACATAATGATTTACCTTTATTTGCTCAGTATTGCAAGACATTGTTCTATTTTCTGAAGTATGGAATCATTCTTATGTTTCTTTCCTTGTAGATTCATGGTAAAACAGAGCTTGTAACATCGAACAAACGTCCAGTTCCGCTTACTTGGCACTTCTCGAAGAAATACTCATTGCAACCACTGCTTGATGGAAAGGGGAAAAAAATGAATAGGTACCAGATGTGCAAGTCCATTTTAAAAGATAAGGGATGTGGTTTTTAGAGTGGTCCAATTTTTTTCGTGGAGACATGCAGAACTTTAAACTCAAATTCGTTCTTGATATTAAGGACAAAAATAAAAACA